ATGGGTCACGTCGATCACGGCAAAACCACGATCTTGGATTGGCTGCGCAAATCATCTGTGGCAGCGTCTGAACATGGTGGTATTACACAGCATATCGGTGCATTCTCCGTAATGATGCCCTCAGGAAAAGCCATTACCTTCCTTGATACCCCCGGCCATTCTGCATTTTTGGAAATGCGTCGCCGCGGTGCCGACGTGACCGATATTGTGGTGCTTGTGGTTGCCGCGGACGACAGTGTCAAGCCGCAAACTATCGAGGCCATCAAGCACGCCACACAAGCCAAGGTTCCTGTCATAGTCGCCATCAGTAAAATTGACAAGGAGGGCAATAACCCTGATCGAGTCAAGGGTGACCTTTCTGTGCATGGTATCCATGTGGAGGACTACGGAGGTGACGTCCAGGCCATCGGTGTCAGCGGCAAAACCGGACAAGGAATGGTTGAACTGGAAGAAGCCATCGTCGCGCTCTCAGAAATGCTCGACCACCGCGCAGCCACCACCTGTAACGTCGAAGGCTGGGTTATTGAGGCCTCGACAAAGAGTTATGGCCGTGTAGCATCCGCCCTGATTCGACGTGGAACCCTGCGGCCAGGCGATATCATTGTTGCCGGTACAGCGTGGGCTCGTGTCCGCACTCTCCGCAATGAAGCCGGTGTGGCCATCACTGAAGCCACACCTGGAATGCCCGTCGAAATCGATGGTTGGAGAGAGCAGCCAGGTGCTGGCACCGAGCTCCTACAGGCACCGACCGAGCAGAAAGCCAAGGATGTTGTAGAATACCGCCTAGAGAAGACTGATACCCAGAAGATGGGTGTCGATATGGTTGCAATTAATGAGGCTCGTCGTGAACTTCTTGAGAAGCGCAGGCGCGAGACAGAAGATGAAGAAACAACAAAGGAAGTCGAATCAAGCGGCCCCAAATCGGTCAATTTCGTCCTGAAGGGTGACGTGGACGGTTCGGTGGAGGCGGTCTTGAACTCCGTTGCAGCAGTCGGTAACAACGAAGTCTTTGCCAATGTCATCCGCTCGGGTGTTGGCCCTGTCAGTGAATTCGATATCGAACATGCTGGCAGTGCCAAGGGCAAGATCGTCTCATTCAACCAGGTCATTGATCCCAATATCATGCGTATTGCAGAGGCCGCGGGCGTCGAAATTCTGGACCACAACATCATTTACAAACTGATTGATGACATCAAGGCCATTCTCAGTGAAAAGCTGCCTCCAACAGTCACTACGCGTGTGACCGGAGAAGCCGAGATCCAGCAGGTCTTCACGATTACTGTCAAGGGACGGGAAAAGACAGCCATTGCTGGAAGTCGTGTGCGTAACGGTCTGATCAATAAAACTCGCAAGGTAAGGGTACTTCGCGGGGAGGAGATAGTCTACGATGGTAAGCATATCAGAATGAGCTCAACTCGAATAACTTGGACCAAACTAACTTTCCAACAGGCACAATGGTCTCACTCAAGAACGTCAAGAAAGACGTCACCGAAATGCGCAAAGACACGGAATGTGGTATCGCTTTCGAAAACTGGACAGATTTCGCACCTGGTGACCATGTCCAGTGCTACGAAGAGATCTCTGAGAAGCGCTATCTGTGAGATACTCGCTCCGTGGTCTCAAGATCTGGTTGCGATGACCGCTTGTATTATTTGTTTGGATCATTCTAACACTCTCCATTCCCCTCATGATCTTCATTCAAATTTTGTATTATATTTTCATTTCTCTCTCGACATGGTTGACTTGCATTCAGGGTCTGGGCGTTGTTGCATCCCTATCTACTGGGGACCGGAAGAAAAGCATACAATCAATGTAATTAGGGAGGGTGCCGCTGTCGCAGCGCATGTGTATATTTTTAAGTATCATTGCCGAATGGCCACATTGCTATTCATTTCTTGTCTATAAACCAAGAATAGCGGCCGCTTGTTGGACTCGTGCGGAACTGCCGAAGTCGAATTCTAAATACCCAGCTGACTCAAGATGATGAGAGATCCATGCTATATTTGAAGTATACCAAACATAAGTCCTTGATGTGTCCAGATTTAAATAATGAAAGATATAATATCCATTCGTGATCCAACGCGCCAGAAGTCCTCATCTTCCCATCCCAAAGTGATACACAAGAATGTTGGGCAAAAGAACAACATCAAGAAGATGCTCGAAACGCTACAGCTGATGCAAAACACCACCAGCTTCCGCAAACTTCTGCTGGTACTCCTTCAGACTCGCCCACTGGCTCAATTCTTCTTGATCCCGCTCATAATCACTCAGATAGCTCATAGCGCGGCCGTTCATCTGGGGGCTGACGCCGTCGGCAGGGCTGGCTGCATCGCCTATGTCAGAATGGCATTCCAGTCGGACAAGCGTCTCGATGAACGCGTTCAGGTAGGACTCCGCCTCTGCGGCGGTGAGGATGTGGAGGCCTGGCGGCGCGGTCGTTGGTGATGGCAATGGTGCGGCAGCGGTTGTGAGGTTTGGGATTTCAGTGTTGGATTGATTCAGCTTGTGGGAGAGGCCGAGGAGGGTGGATGCTACTTGGCGGATTTTATTGGTCTGTAGACGGGGTCCTTTTGTTAGTTTGATTGATCATAGGTAGTGATGTTTTGAGTAAGGAACCTACAATGCTTGCACCGTTCGGCTTCATGTTCACTTCGTTCACTGTTCGTAATAGCACGAAAAGATCTTTGATGACTACTTTGCGCTCTTCAGCCATCATGCGGCCAATATAGTCTGTTTCGGCATTGGATTGAGCTTGGGTGCTGGTTTCTGACGAAGCTGTACCAGTGGGAGTGGCACTCATACTCGCACTTGGTACTGGATCGGGCCTTTCTTCGATTTTGATATGTGGCGTGGTGCTGCCCGGGGCCGTAAATTTAGGTGACTGTCCGTACTTTGAAAACGTATCGAAAAGGCTCCAGTACTTCTCGACCAGGTAGGACCTGGTGCATAGCTGACTAGCGTAGATATTGGCTTTCTGGATCTCATACTGTATAGCACGTCGTTCTTGGTGGATATGATCATTCGAGTAGCTGAAAATTGTCTCGTCTCCGCCAAGACCTGAAAATCCTGCCAGGGATATGTGTTTCGGATGGTGGAGAGACAACTCAGCAGGAACATTGATTAGTGCAGATTTTGCTCGCTTGAGACAGTCCCAAATGCAGTTGCGCTGATGCTCCCAATCGAAGATTTGACCGCTGCCAAACGCTATTTCCCAAGCTAGCAGAGCGGTATATGAGCTGTAGACGCGGACATTTGCGTTGAACCCGACTAGCTGCGAGACTCGGTCGGATGGCTGCGGCTCGACATGTGTTGAGAATAAAAACTCATCATCGATCTCCAGCGGGAGTGGTGGATAACGGTCCGTCGGTGTCTCTGGAGGAACATGAACCTTGATATCTGAAGAGCCCATCTGGTGTAACGTCTGATATCCGACAAAGGTGACATAGAACAGACGCCGACCGAGCTCTTGAGTGATGAGGTCGACGCCTTGGCTTTCCGTGAAATTATGTGCTGGTGGATCCTGCACCATTACTGAGGCGGGTGATAGTGGGCTGAGGGGTCCTAATTTCGAGGACGGACGGTTGGTAGTGGTCGGAGACCGGCATAAATCATACACTTGCAGCATAGCTCGGCATTCCGACAGGTACAGACGGCATCGGCGCAAGTTATAAATATATCCGGCACATATAGCAAGAAAATAGCTGATGGCTGCATCGTAGACTGTGGCGTTGCGATCAAGATATCCGGTCCCGCGGGCTTGGATCGCAATGTTAACGCACCGCTTTACGAGAGCTATAGAATTGGGGAAAGCGGCGCGTTCAGCTTCAGTGTTGAGTCGGAGTTTAGGTCGTCGAGGGAAGGAAGCCACTAGTAGTCCAATCATTGACGCCGAAAGTGCCAAAAATGTGTGGTTTGTTACATCTTCCCGGCGCTCAAAGGCTGCTCGAAAAGAAGGCTCATGTGGAATTGGGACCAAAGGATGAATGTAGGTGAAAAAGTCATCAAGCAACATCTGCATCGTGTGCAAAGAACAAATCGATTCTACCGAAAGGGAGAACGATGCAGATTGAGGGTTGGTGAGTGGCGTTGCCAGGGGAGTCGTCGCCGACGGACAGTCTGCAGGGCTCAGCGACGCTGCATCTTCAGGTTCCCGCTTTTGTTTCTTAAATGCCTCTGCATGGCGGTTAGGAGGCCCCCGGCGTCTGCTTGGTCTTTCATAGGTGCAGGGAATATCCAAGCTAGCGCACGACCGACAAGGTGGCCCACCGGTATCACACTTGCATGGAAATTAGTATTTCCCCGCATATCATGACAAAAGCACCATACCTTCACTTTCCGAACACTACAGGCATCGCAGGCCTTGCGCAGCCTTGTTTTAAGGTCCATCGATGAGCAAATTGCCGGGATCACCACACCTCGAACTGTCAGATCATATTTAATCGACCCAAAGACAGTCAGAACATCCAGACTTCAGGCTTGACTGCCAACGGAAAGAATGCCGAAATCCGAGTCCCGGAAGCGGAATGAGCCAGGAACTTTAAAGCTGAAGCTCTGGAAGCTCTGGAAGCTCTGGAGATCTCGGGAAAAGGTTCGAAGTCCGGGGGTCGGTCACACTTCCGGATTGCTAAGCGGGTCAAACCTCGAGGGTTTGGGAAATCTGGGGTACCTGAACTCCGCCGAGGCAACTATGGAAAAGATACCTATGATGTTTTACTCTCAGGGGATGATTCCGAGGATTATAATGTGAATACTTTTGCAAAAGTAAAAAATACGTCTCGGACGGTGGTGCAGTCACGTGCCACTCGTAACTCAACATCCGGAGCTTCTTTACGAAAATTCAAGAGGTGGAGTTAATTACGATTGGATTTAGCAAGAATAATTGGCTGCGAAGGGCTCATCGCTGCTGGCACAGACCAATGGTGAATCAGGAACCAGAAGTGGAAAGTTAGATGCATTTTGCAGTAACCTCGGTTACGCTTAAGAGATATACCGTTCACAGGTCATGGCATAATATCGTCATGGTATTGCTCACCTAGTCGACTGGGCTGCTGGTTGATAGCTCGTCGCTTGCGTTCGATATCCGTCACCCAAAGTGCCGACCCAGCCGCCGTGGTCATCAAAAATAGCATAGAAAAAGGAGGAATCAGTTGAAGGATCAGAGCCACCGTCCCGAAGCTAGAGTGTATTAGATCACATACCAACCGACGAAACAAATAGGACTTACATAGTGTACTGCAGCTGACGCCGACTAATACTTTCCTTTCTCTGCTGCTTGGACATGTCCAGTAGATGGAAGTAACGCCAGTGATGGAAGGGACCGGCACGATAGCCAGTCAAAACTAGGAACATAGGAGTGCCGGCTACCGGAATAAAAATAAGCGGAAGCAAAATGATAAACTCGACGATCTGCCGCAACGAAAATGGAGAATACACGGCACTGGTGGTCGGCGTGCCCAGACGCTTGGCCGGGTTGCCGGGCTCGGGATAAATGACCCGCGAGGTGGTAACAAGTTCCTCTTGACCCTCATTCACCAACACCGCATCGAATGTATCCACTAGAGTTTCATCGACAAAGAATGCCTCGAAGAGTGCGGCAACAATCGCAGCTCCTTCACCAAGCACTAGGAATGCGCCGCTCACCCATGCTGAGCTGCCCTGGAAGATGGCAAGGAAGGCAACCTGGGGCAGGTAGGTGAAAAAGAAGAGGATAAAGTATATGAAGGATGAGAGGAGGACGATGGGGAGAAGGCGGGCCTTGAAGAGAGGCCATAGGAACCGATTCGACGCAAAATAGTAGATTCCCTGTTTAGGTTAGTCCTGGAGCTTTGGAAGCCACATAGGTAGTAACATACCCGAAGAGGATACAGCCAAGCAGCTCGGCTGGGATCCAGGAGTCGCGACATGGCTTGCAGGTTCACAGGTCCAAAGGTTCAAAGAATCTCTGGAATGGACAAGTTCGAAAGCAGGCAGCACCTTATCGATAAGATCACACGTGATTTATGGATATCAGTCGGGATGACTAAGCCGACACTATTTCACCAAGAAATTTTTCGCCGAGCGCCCTTTTCCTTTTCTTCTTCACATAAACTGAATTCCTCCCTATTCACTCTGAACTTTTGTTACAATCACTGTTCTGGAGGGGAAATGGGAGGAAAGACCAAATCCGCTGGCTTACCCCAAACTCTTCTACTCAAGTGTGGAGCGTTTGGAATATATCTAGCTGTACATTTCTCTTCAAGCCTTGGTGTTTGGAGGCTTAGTTCGAAGTCCAATGGTAGACTCCCTGGCTTAAAGCTGATGGCGAGGAATCTCGTCCACAATGTGCTCTAGACTGTGTACAATGGCCGTTGGCTGTAGATCTCGAGCCACGGCATCCTCCCATCGTGCACCAACACGGTCAACCCATATAGCTTGCATCAAGTGTTCGATGTTGTCGTCGTTCAGCTGCTCGTTGGTGTCAGCCAGCGCGTGCAATAAAGCATTAATGTGAAGTTAAGGAAGTCTTCATAGGGCCTTTTAATCGCTAATATCTTGAACGTCAAGATTGGAAGTGTGGCTTGCCGGTGCTGTTCCATCTCCATGTGTACTCCAGTTCATACCGCCTCCAGAGTGCGGAGATCGACTGCGCCTTGGCATTGCCACAATGTTTCCCTAGTTATTTCGCGATCGATTCAGTTGAGATCAAAGTGCCACATGATCAAAAGCGACAACTGTCTTGGCTGTCATGATGTTTCATAAATCTCGAGGTCAAAGGCAACAAAGTTGGAAGCCTTGAAGAATGCGGGTTGAAGAATCCATGGATGATGTCAATCTGCCGTGGGGCGAAATAGACTCGACTCACCGGACATCCGGCTTCTCTCCTCTAACCAAGTCTCAATGACTTCCAATGAGAACTATGCTGTGTTCCGGGAATGTTTGTCTAATGCCATCGTGGCCCGCTCCGAGGAAAAGCCGAAGCCAACGCGGAGGAAGCCAAAGGGCAAGCGCACCGAGCGCACAGACGTAGCAGCAGCGACAGTCTCAACCGGGAGAGCAGACCCAGAAGAGCTCGCCGAATTCGTTGATGTACATGCACCCAACCAGTCCAACCCAGCGCAAAGCGACCGGCCCTCAGGCCCAACAAAGCCTACGCACCACAGCCAAAACAACTAACAAGACCCGAAGCTAACAACCCCAGTTCCTAGCGTCAGAAACTTTCACCATTTTCCCAACCCCGCTCCAAACCCTAAGCTATGCAGCCATCCAGCACGATCCAAGTCTATCAACTCTCTACATGCCCCCAGATAGCGACACACCCCTCCCACGCACCACGCTCGAAACTCTATTCTCCCCAATCCCAGTTAGCGTAACCGACTCGCTACTCGTCTACGGCATAATCCCGGACGCAGCAGACCTGGTGGACTTCCTCGCCCCCGTGCTGGCGGAGTACATATCGAGCGTGACGACTGGCCCGCCGGCGTGGGCGAGCACGCGCGCGGACGCGTGCGAGATCTGCGAGCGAGACTGGATCCCGCTTTCGTATCATCATTTGATTCCGCGCGGGGTGCATGCGAAGGTCATTAAGAAGGGGTGGCATGATGAGTGGATGTTGAATAGTGTGGCGTGGCTTTGTCGCGCTTGTCATAGTTTTGTGCATCGCATGGCAACTAATGAGGAGCTGGCTAGGGAGTGGTTTACTGTTGAGAGGATTTGTGAGAGGGAGGATGTGCAGGACTGGGCTAACTGGGTTGGGAGGGTTAGGTGGAAGGCGAGGTAGGGTATTTGAGACCTGTATGGGTCTAAATTGGCCATCATCTTCGAGGTTTGGGATATGTATACAATAGTAAAAGCTAAGGTATGTACACATGTACATCGATAAAGGACCAGAGGGGGCTAAAACATGTTATTTTATTGCTCGGCCTGAATATAGCTTCCTAGCATTAACTTGTAGTTATAAGTAAGAACATTCCACATAGATAGCCAAAACAACAGAGAAAATAGTCTGCGAAATATGAACGAAAAATCCTCTGAGAGAAAGCCTCCATACATAGTTAAGAACATAAAAGAGTCAATTTCCTCCCAATCTTACATTTAATTCCGAGTGACAGTAGCAGTAACAGTCTCAGTAATCCGATCTGTCACGGTCTTGGTCTTTGTCTCGGTGTCTGTCTCGGTGATCGTGATAAAGCCAGACGGCGTAACTGGATTCACAGTAAGTATGCCTTGGCCTGCTTTGGAGCTCGTGGTAGCGATATTTGCATCCACAGTAGATGTGGGATCTGCTGCATGTGTAGTTACCGCTGCTCGCGTGTCAGTCGACCCATAGACGGTCACGCGAAGTGTTTTTGTGGAAGTGACTGTCAGACCAGGAGCAGTCTCACTTAGGGACGGCAACAATGGAGCAGATGGCGATGTTGTCGAGTAAACGGTCACTGGAACGACACTTGTGGAAGTGACACGGACTGTCACTGTAGAAGCAGCCTCACTTGGGGATGGCAACAGCGAAGGCATAGGTGACGATGTAGCCGGGTAAACAGTCAGAGGAACAACACTCGTGGAAGTGATATGAGCTGTCACCACAGGAGCAATCTCACCGGAGGACGACAACAAAGACAAAGAAGGAAGCGATGGTGTTGCCGAGTCGATGGTCGTAGGGACAATTGGCGTTGCATTGGCATGACTGGTCTCTATAGGCGCCACATTCACACTCGGGCGCCTCCGAGTTGAAGACGACAAGACCGAATACGAAGAAGCGGATGATGATAACGATGATGATGGGTAAAAAGTCACACGAACGACCGACGTTGCAGTGGAATGGATGGTCACAAACATCAAAGATGTAGTTGTTGGCTCAATAGACGGTTTTACCGTTGGATTTGCTGATGACATCGATGAGTCGGTGACACTGGGTGCGTGGTGGATGACGCTTGTTGAGAAGGGCTTTGGTGCTCCTTTGGTCACATATACGATCACAGGCTCGGTTACGCTCACAACTGGCTTGGACCCTGACGTGGGAACCTGCTGTAGTGATGTAGATTGTGCCTGCGTAGCCTTTGCTGGCTGGATTGGATTGGAGGTTGAAATCACCGGTACGGACGTGGAAGAACTGCTGCTACTTGCTTTTCCTAGGGGTGCAATAGCTCCAACAGCTGGACTGCTACTTGTGGGCACTGTAGGCACCGGTGTTGTCACTGGCTGCATCGTCGTAGAGGTCGAGGCCGCTGGTGTGGCTGAGATAGCTTTGATGCTAGTTGCTCCATCTAGGAGCGTAGCCGATGAAGATTGGGGTGAACTCGGTATCACCAAAGAATCGGGAGAAGACGTTGAGCTTGGAATATAGACTGGTAACAAACTAGCTATGGGTGATGAACGCAGCATTCCCGGGGTTGTGGATGAGGATATGGATAGCCGAGTCATAATGGACGCATGAGAGGTGGTGGTCGCCCTTTTGGTTGTAGTCTGCTCCTGAGTTGTAGTTGGCTTTGGAGTTGCAGCTGGCTTTGGAGTTGTAACTGGCTTTGGAGTTACAGTTGGCTTTGGAGTTGTAGCCGGCTTTGGGGTTGTAGTTGGCTTTGGAGTTGTAGCCGGCTTTGGGGTTGTAGTTGGCTTTGGAGTTGTAGCCGGCTTCGGGGTTGTAGTTGGCTTCTGACTAGTAGTTGTCTCACGAGTTGTGGTTGACACGCGGGATATAGTTGACTTTTAAGTGAAGGTTAGCTTGGTGGTTGGCTTAATAGTTTAGAAAAGGGTAAAGTACTATTGGCTCCTCGGCCGTAAACGGTAACTGCGTAGGTGCCGCCACAGGCGTGATTTCAGTGATACCGCCAGCTTCACGCCGTTCGATATCAGGCAATAAGGGGAGAGAAGTCGGTTCAGGTAACTCCAATGGCTGAGACAGCCAGCGAGAGATCGGACCAGCCGAAGCCATCCATGGCAAAAGAAGGAACAAAAAGAACTGAAAGCGAAGCATCCTGATTTAGAAACGAGAGTGTTGGAAGTGATCGCTGATGACTTCGACAAAGTGGGACAGTAAAGAAAAGTGGGTGCTCAGGCAGAGATATACTAGAGCGCCTGAATAAGATAGACACAATCACACGTATAATAAAGCATGACCAAAAAAAATATGAAATTAATGGGAATGCATACAAGGCCTGGGAGGCGTCTTGATGGCTTGCAAATGAAAGAATGGCTGGATCACTAGGGACCACAAAAATGAAGAGAAACAAAAGAATGGGGCAAGATGAAGCTACCTAAGACCTTAACAGAAAAGAGATTTTCTTTCAAATTCCTCGCCATCGAGGATCCTGGCTGGTATATCTGCACTTTGGGTTTCATCAGGGGCCTAATTGCCCAGGTGGGTTTAGGGCTTCCTGTCAGCCGCCCATTGTGCCAACCTTGGAAGCTTTTCCATGAACAAAGTCCGAAATAATCCAGGACTACTAGTCCCAAATGGAACCGCCATTGCAAGGGGGCTCTTTGTGGGACCGAATGTATGCTAGAAATAGATCGCGCGAGAAAGAGACGTTGCAGTAGGCGCCCAGCCCTGGTCGATGGCGCGTGCTGATTGGCTGCAGGCTCAGGACCACTTTATTATCACATTGAGGATTCTATGTTGACATATGGACTAGGTAGATTTCTAGACCCAGAGTGTCTGGCTAATTCATTTGCTACATGGACGGGCGCGTAATTGAAGATATAATTACTGCGGCCTGGTTACTCCCCGGGTCGCACACTTCAGCAAGTAGATCATTTGACACCATTTATTCAACCCGTCACCACTCCATAAACCACTATATTATAAATGAGTCAGACTATGAAGTCTTCACTGTGAAAGTCCCACTAATGCCCTCGAATGGTGAGATTTGGCCAAAGGGATTCTTTGAGTCTCCATAATAATGCATCCGATAGGTCCCAGCCTGCAGGGGGGACGCAGTGTCGACACTATAATACTCGTCCTCAATCTCCCATTCAATTGATACCTCACTGTGGCCAAGAATTTCATTGGTCCGCTTCCACGAGAAGACCAAATTCCAGTCATGGTCATTGCGCACAACCTCCCATGTGCCAGAATCGCTTTTCCTTTCAACCGCAGCGTAAGTCGACTCGAGGTGCAGATTGTTCCGGGGATTGGCGCCCACAAAGGTCGTCTTCACAATATCTCCGGGGCCATAGGGTCCACTCCCCGGGTTTGAAGTCACATCTCCAAAGCGCTTTCCAATTGGCGCTCCATCGTACACAACCCCCGCAATGAAGCTCAATGAACGGTTGGTGTTGATTGGTGGGTTGGGGCCAGGTTGGATGGCCGGAAGTTTGGCAACTTCTAAGGAGCTTCCCAAATATGGCAGGTAAGTGAGGGTCAGATTGACATAGGCCGCCAGTGTGTTTGGGCCGTAGAGTGTGGACCCGCCCTCGTAGCGCTGAGCGCCGTACTCTTCCTCTGTTGTCACGTAGTGAGCGTAACTGTTTGATGGAGCTCCTAGTACCACTAGAGGATCGGAAACAGAAAGGTAGTCCTTTGCTTCTTTTGCAAAAGCCTCCTTCCAGCGTCGCCCAGACATCGTGGTAGCTTCGCTAGTGGATATAATGAGGAACAGCTGACCCACTCGCAAGACCTGGATGTCAATAATATCCGCGGCCCATGCATAAGGTTCAGTGAGAGTGCCAATATCCAATAGCACGTTCTTGGGACTTTGGCACTGCTGCTGTGTTTTGCTGGGCTGGTGGATAACTGCACGCGCAACTTGCCACAGGGGGTTGCGTGCAGCTGGACCAGTAGCATTCTGGGTAAAGTCAAAAGCACCAGGTCCGTCTGAAGTTCCAGCGGCAAACGAGTACCCCAAAGCGGCAGAACAACTCGTCAGCGTACTAGAGTTGAACGGCGATGGGAAAGTGTAGCCATTCATGTCTTGGTACACATGGAAAGACTTCACCGCTGAGCCTCCAGTGATTTTGATAGGTGTGGTGTCCATCTCTTCGTAAAGCTTCTTTGCTGCTGAGTACTGGCGGCGCCCAATCTCGAAACAACTCTTCGCTCCGTTGTCTTTCTCACGGAAAAAAGGACCTCGACCATGGCAATCTTCGTTTCTGCCACCGCAAGTGCTATCTTCATATCGGCACATATCTCCAGAGCCGTCCTCACACCAAGCTCCTAGGATATTAGGGGATGTGTCCCCGACATTCGCTTGAGAAAATCCAATGACGACATCGTCAGTGAACCTGGCATCGCCGTCAACGCTGCGCTCGAAGAGGTAAGCCGCAACACCCTTGTTGTCGCCACTGACCAGAGTGTTGTTGTTGTACATGGATGTGCCATGAACAGGGAACCATGTTAGAACAGCAGCTGTTTTGTTGTCGGATTCGCGATCAAACCGAATGAGTGAGAGCGATTTTTCAACATTGTCAGAATACCGCGCCCTTTCTTCCTCGGGGTTATGCTTGTACGAAAAAGGGCTGCGATTGATATTTGTGTCTTGCAGATCGATGGATCCAAAAGAGAGCCGACCGGGCACCAAGTTCTCATGGGCACGGATGATTGATAGAACAGTGCCGTCAACAATGGCTTGATAGCTTTGCTTGTCAAAGCCTAACGCCGGAATCTGAGGCAACAAGTAGTTCATCCACGCTCCAGGCCCGGAGTGCGAATGTGTCCCCGTCATTGCGACGTTGTGTTCGCCGTACCGGGCATACTCCCCACCTAGTGCAGTGAGACCCTCCAGGACACCGTGTCGCACGGCCGTGTCACCTGCAAGGGTATCGAGAACCAGGTACACAAAGGTTTCATCAGGCTTATTTGGGTCTGCGAAGATGAAGGCGCGAGAATACAATCTCTGCTTTAGACCAGTGCCTATTTGGTCCAAGCTGGCATAGCCAGTGAGAGCAAGCTCCACAACGGGCCTAGTAATCATATTAGCCAATTGATCGCATTGATATGTCGAAATTTAAAGCATAAACATACCCAGTTACATCTGCCTTGCCCGCTCCGACCAAAAAGATATCATCAGCTGCCGCCGCATTCGCTCTGCTTTTCCACTGATTGAAGTTTGAACTAAAGCTAGGCAGGGGCGACTGTGACTGACTATCGAGCTTGAATACTGCAATCAGCTGCAAAAACACCAGCACCGCAAGAGTCACCCCAGCAAAAGTAACGCCCATGCGAAAGTTAGTCATTATCGTGAGTGCTTGCCAATATATCACAACTAGGATAGAGTTGTAACGTCTGCAGGTAACTGCGGCCCTGGAAAAGGTCGAAATCCCCCAGGGAGATACGGGTTCTTATACAAGTGCACTAGGCGGGGATACAGTGGGAAGACGAACGAGCTACCTGCGAGTGCAGAAGATAATTGCCCAAGTACCCCAAGCCTGGGAAAGAAGCCGATCGTTATGTACATGAAGTACTAGGTGACATTCGGCTAAGCGATGTACAGGGATTAGGGCCGTCATCCATTCCAAGGTTGAATTCCGCACACCGAAAAGGGAATAATAGACTTTGCCGAACTCCGCACGATATGTGCTCGTGTGTTGACTGCACATGCGAAGACCGGATCGTCTCGATTTTTAGCCAGTCGGTGAGTTGGGAACTTGTCTTAGTACTCAGGTACTTCGCGTACTTCGCGTAAAAACAATCCAAAACAGATAGGATCATCGTTGCAGTCGGGAAAGCAATGTAGAGGGCACCGGACTCCCAAAGCCTGGTTTCTGCTGCAGCAACATAAACATATCCCATGACTCAAATGATGTTCGAGTTCATTCATTAATTACCCTACAAAATCAGGTACACTCTTCACCTTGTTCGTTCCTGCCGCGGTGCATATAAAAGTTGAGGTCACGTGGCGCCTGGGAACTGAGTCAGCGGCATTCATCTCGCCGCCTCCCTCACCGCCTTCATGCAGCAATGATTCTCAAGATTAATCTACTGGTCTTGTCTTGAATCCATACAACATCACTCCAAAATGCCGTTAATCAACGAATCTCATGACTCGCTCCCATGTATGTACTCAGAGTGGCCAAGAGACCTGCGTTTAGAACCCAATCACTAACCTTCTAAGATATCGACGCGGCGCCCACTGCGTCCGCGCAAGCGCGAGCGCAGCAGCTCATCAACGCAGAGCTATCCCCGGAGCACGCCTCTACAATGCATCCCTGGATCCCGGAAGTGCCAGAACCCAAATTTTCTCAATTTATGCAACAAGAACTGGCGCGCAAGGCGCAAGGAGCGCCCCTCACAGGCGGAATCGACCTGTCCCGTTACGAAGCACCAGAGGCCCCGACTCGCACATCAGACGCCGACATGCCCGACCTAGACACATGGCGCCAGACTTTACAGAAGGCATATGCGTCAAGCTCGCACCTGTCCAAGCGCGACGAGAACCTGGCTCTGCTGGAAGAGCATGGCAAGAACGCTTGGCTGATTGGCAATTCGCAGCTTGAGGAAATACTCGGCTCTCTTGAGAAGGAGTTGTCAGAGACGAAGGAGGCTTCCGAGGAGGTGAACAAGCAGAGAAAAATTGCACAGGAGGCGAGCCAGGGTGAGCTAGTCAGCCTAGAGGAGACGTGGAAGCAACGTCTTGGAGGGATTCTTGACGTTGAGGTGGCATCTGAGCGTTTGCGCATGCAGCGTCTTGACCATATGCGCCAAGTGGCTCAGCAGCAGGCTCGCTAAGGAAGGACTTTCGTCTTGTCTGTGTACTATCTTTCTGAGAAATGAAAGCTTATCATTCTAGCGACCTTCTGCTGGCTGAGGGATTCATGTTCTTGGTTGCACAGTCTGCTTGGTGGAACGCTCGCATGGTGGAGTGCCATGTGTGCGACTTGAGGGTTACCGTGCCCATGTTCCTTCGTCCATAAACAATTTGGAAAAGTGGCCTATGGGTGTCGCTCTTGCTTTTGCACCGAGAACTTCTGCTCGCCCACACGGCTTATCAACACTGGGCTCCGGTGTGTTTTGGCAGTGTCCCAAAGTCAGTGTCAGCAACTATCGCTCTCGAATTACGACTATCTATGGGGTTCATTAAGCCTCATACCAAGCTCTAACAAAAGAGCCTTTGCATCCAAATGAATATTGAGGAATGATGAGATCATGATATGGCCGGGCACTGCTGGTCGGCTCCGGCTATTCCGACATTGGAAGTTGGAAGTTGCAGAAGATTCAATGAGTGTGATAGCTCCTACCAGGGTCCTTCCAAGGTTCTCTTGAAATATGATTCTATTTCACGCCACACCTTGTTCCAAGTAGTAGAACTAAACTCCTAATATCAGGTACAGATTGAACTGCGCGCCAAATCATGCTCATAAAAAAAATAACCCGTGTCTGCTCTTACACTCAGATCAAGTAGATCGGTCAAACCCAAAACACCTCGGCACAACCACATCGACACCAACACCATCTTCCAAACCCTTCACAGGGCCCAACTACATCTTCTTCTCCACCTCAACCCCCTCCCTCTCAGTCTTCGTATTCCAATCCACAAGCCGCCGACACAGACCGTCGAGGGTGTTCAGAGGCGGGTTATACCCTAACCCACCCATCTCAGGCGCCAGCTTCGCCCGCGAATCGTCAACGAAGACATGGACATTGATAATCGAAAACACCGACGGCTGAAGCTGCCCAATATCCCCCGACAACCTCGGCAGAAACCAAGAGAGATATTTATACTGCAAGAAAGTATACAGCTCAATAAAATACGCCATAACCAACAAGGGCAAGGGCTGCACATCCGGAAACGACAGCGGCGTTTTAGACAACGTCGTGAGTAGCGTGTACAAATCATCAAATGCAATCGCCGGGTTGGGGTCGGTAACGGTGAATGCCTGGCCACCTGTATTCGGGAGCTGCGAACCAGGCTCGCTCTGCCGGATCAAACACTGTTCGTACAGCAGGTGTGCGATTGAGACGTTTTCAGCGTGCACGAAACTCTGCAGGATTGGGCGAGCCCAGGTCGGACTGCCTCCGTTGCGGAGGTAAATGCCCGTGACAACATTGTTGGCTTGGCCGCCTGTGCCATATACGCCGTTTGTAGGGCGGATACAGCCGGTGCGGAAATTTGTTGCTGGGTTATCTGCTTCGCGGACGAGGCGCTCTGCTTCGGCTTTTGTTACGGCGTAATTGCCGAAGAATTGGTCGTGGGATTCGGGCAGTTTGGTGCTGTCGCTGATTACTTGGATTACGCGCTTGGGCTGGGTCGCCCACGGTGCGATCCAGAAGGTTGGCTGGTGCAAGGCGATGGAGCCTGAGGATGTCCAGATGAAAGCTGTGGCGCCGGCGGCTCTTGCAGCGTTCAGGACGTTCCGTGTGCCCTCGATATTGACTTTGCTGCTGAGTGGTAGGAGGCTCTTGAGTCGATCCTGGGGTCGGATTATGGCTGCGGTGTGGTAGACTGTTAGGGCGAGGTTGATGACATTGGCAGGCCATGGCTCTTCGAATGCTGTCGTTACTGCGAGCCCGTCAGTGATATTGGTTTTGGTCCAGCCCACGCCTTTGTTGAGGACGTCCTGCTCTGGGGAGACTAGATCTAGAATGCGAATGGCCTTGGGGTCTTCGCCTCGTGCGAGGAGATGTGAGACTATCCAAGCGCCAACTAGACCTATAGTTTGGAGAATCAGTGCATGGATTTGAAGACAGACTTGTATCTATACTTACCAGTTCCGCCTACGATCACATATCGTCGGCATTGCTTTGGTGGCAGGCTCTTAGTCACGTCAATAGGGGCTTCCAGGCTCTTTTTATAGGCTGCTTCTATTTCTTCGATTGTCCAACGATGAGGTGATAGCTCCCGCGCCTCTTCGGGGACTACTTTCATAGCAGAGTTAACACGCCACATATAGAGAGCACCCAGTCCAACCAGGCCGGCTGCTATAAGCGAGGTCATGATGGTCGGACAGTTACAGAATACTTTTTGCGAGGTTGCAGTCCCACAAAGGGTTTTAAAGGAGGGTTGCCAGGGAGTACAAAAAGTTATTTGCCATAGGGCTGTTTGAAGGTCCAAATTTAAAGCAACCTGTTTCAGATAGGATATTCAAATAGTGATCTTATCAGAGTCATTCCAAGCATTCGGCAGGTCGCTTAGACCTTAGTTCGCTTCGGTTATGTTGAAACAAGCGGCCTGAGACCCCTTCGTAGCCAGTGAGAACGCCTCATTTGGAGCAAAGTGCGGTAGAATTGTCCGTTTGTCACCGAGAGAGATTTTACTAAACCGTCTATGGTTAGAAGTAGTGTTATATAACCGAGGGATGTCTATATTGTATCCATGAATCTGATATTAAACGAGTTTTGCTTTCGGGATTTCTTTCAGTTCTATAGATCAGAATATGAACCTACATACATGTACATACTAGTACTGGACAAGTCGGAAGCGGAACCTTGCGCAATATTACCTAGAAGTAGCTGGGATCGAAATACATATGTATGTCGTGGAAGTTTCGTATTACTTTCCCCTTTCTTATTTCTTTTTCAAACCGACTTTTTCCCGGTTCCACAGCCTGATGGAAGCTATAGAATGTCTCTTGAAGGTGATGTCATTAAAATAATCTAAAATAGAAGGATATCTTTAAACGCCCAGGAAAGTGATAGAGCCGTTATCAAAGGCAATAAAGAATACATCTTCAATAATACACTAAGATAAACGAAGACACTCGGTTATCGCGGTTCCAACGTCAGCTACCAGCGGGGTTGATTCCTCCCAGATACCAACGTTACACCCATGCCCAATCAAATGTCACCATCAACCTCTGCCTTGATGAAGTCAATAGCCCCGGGCGTCTCAGTCCAGGCGTCGTAGTTGTAACGCAGGACTAAGATCATTTCTTCCACGGTACCAGCTGAGTAGGACTCGGGAATTTCAGTCAAATCAAGGTCAGGATCGATAAGAGAGGGCCAGAAATGCTCATTAGCCTCCTCGACTGCATTGAATACAGCATCGATCTGCGCCTTCAACTTATCAACCATGGTCTCGCGGACATCGCTATCACCGGACATGATGTCGTGGGATACACACACGGCAGGGATCTGAGGAATGGATGACTGAATCAAATCGAGGATCTCGCGAGGAACAACTGGGCCCAGGCTCGCAGTCGACTGCCCTAGTCTCATAACCTCCAAGAGGAGCTTGATCTTCAAGAGGCACAGGCAAGACAAGTGACTGAGATCAGGGAACTGACCACAGAACCGCTCCACAGGCTCGAAAATGTCGGCGTTTTTGATATCGAGGTATGGAAGATCAGTGTTTCCCCAGTCGTACCGTGGATTGTCACTAACGACTTCCCACCACTTGATGAAGTCGTAGCATTCCTGGTCCTTGTTGAGACGTAGCATGAGCCCAGGCACAAGGTCTCGCACGCCCATGTTATCACTGCGGCACAAACGTAGCATGTCCATAAAATGGTCCAGCTGCGCTTTGACGGATTGGGCATTGTCAACCTGGGTCATGGCTTCGACCAGTGCAAACCGCGCTCGCATATAGTCGCGGGTTCCGAGCACGCTCCAGAAATTCCCGGCACTGTTAGTAAAGGGGTCTGCAGGCATCATAAAATCTCCGGGGTGATTTCGCAGGATCTGCTCCTCTTCCTCCATCTTGACGCGTGCTCTTCTGATGGCGCTGCAAGCAGATTTATGGGCTGGGCGATCAGCAACTTGGTGATCGCGGCCGCAGTAAGACAACACCTTGCAGCCAGAGCATATGAGTAGACCTTCCTCCTGACCACAGACGCCGCAGCCGGAAGGCAGTTCTTTGGCGACCATGTCTGCGATAATGGATGGAGAGCAATGGAGAAGTGAAGTACGAAGTGTATCAAGGCAGAAAGGTCAACCCGAAAAGAAGCGACGTGGTGATCCTTAACGCTTGCCTTTGAGTCGGAAGAACGTGAATGAAGGTTGGGGATGCACTTCCTTGGAAGAAGTGGAATTGAGGGATTGTCAACGCAGTCGGTAAGCGAGTCGGCCATGGAAGCAGCCGGCCACCCCAAAACACATAGTAAATGCGACACTTGTATCTCCACAACCACGATTCTATTGCTACTAGATAGTTGATGAGACTTATTAGCAGAAAATCGATTTCAAAGAGGGTAGAAGACTACAGTGGCGTTTCATTAGTATTTGTACCCCAATACATCTAACCTCGACCGCTCTTGCTATACCGCCTACCTATTCCTACTCCGTACGCTAATATTCGAGATTTCTACCTTAGTGCATTATTTTGTTAATTGAGCAGAGACTATGCTACATAGTGTTAAAGAAGTTATTAAGTATGAAGGGTGGCATACTAGTCATTAAGGAGTTTTATATTGAAATTCATATATGTTTTGACGTTCTACCAGCAGAAAATAAGTGGGTCTCCACAGCCTTGCGAAGTACCTAGGGTACAAATACTAATGAAACATGACTGTATCTTATTATCATTTCGAAATCACCGAAAATTACGTTTCTAAAATCTAGAAATGTATACATCGCAGTCATAGAGACATGCTATTTCCCCAAACTCCCTAAGTACGCTAGGTATCACCTAGAAAGCATTAAGCTATAAGGACATCTCTATATCGCCTACCGTTGTTGAGAGATTAAGTTGTAATTTATCACATTTACCACGTGTTTTGGGGCGGCTGGCTTACATGGCCGACTCGCTTACCGACTACGTTATTTATTTTCTCTTGCGTCGTCTATGTACTTCGCAGTGTTTGCCCAAACAAACGACTTCAAACCGGCTTTTTCCCGGTTCTAAATGTTGGGTCTCAAAATCAATATCTACATATATATCTACTCCGTACTTCGTATTCCAAAGTTAAAGCGTATGATTGTATGTGAAATGCTGTGAGAAATACGAACTCCACAATATATATTGCACAGCCCAGCATTCGGCAAACCGGCACACCACAGCCCAGGCTAGAACCCACATGCTCTTTCGGGCCTAATAGGCCGTGTGGAGACAAATTGGGAGCACACAAGTTCTGCCTTATCGAGATATCACGCCATGACGGGCCTCTTTGCCCATGGGGAAATCCCCAGGGTTTGTACGACAGGGAGTATAGAGGAAGTATAAAGGGATATAAGGGGAAGCCGATACTTTGGTGCCCTACTTATACAATGTAATCTCTACGCAGTAGGAAAAGAAACTATATGATCCCGTTCGGGGCTACAGATCATCTTCTCGGCACAGCACCAGTCCTGCAAGCTGTTCAAGCGCTCCAAGCCCAGCTCTTCTTGTCGAATATGCCTATCACTGACTTCCGGCCCCACATTCGAAAAATTCCGAGTTTCAAATAATGATTCCAATGATAAATGTCCTCAATTTCCATCCTCTGTTATAATCTGTGTCAGTTTGGGGGGCTTGCGGTTGATACTTAAGGCAACCTCGGCTTCGGGATTTCGGCCTACATTTGCAGCATTTCCACCACATCTCAGTAAAGAGATAGAGAACGACACATTCTACTACTACAGCCTTATCTCCGGGCTGAAAGTGGGAAACAGAGGGAGCCTTTGCTCGTATTTCCCCTATTTTCTTCACTACAACCCTAATATTGGAGTAACTGGCTCAATTGATCTTCAATATACACACAATAAGCTCCTCGAACACTATTTCATTGCCTTGAAGGCCATTCGTCCAGGGAATGACAGCTCAACGCTCCAATTTGGAGGGCCAAGATAAATGGCCCGAAAACACTGAGAGGATGTCCCAGGACACAGACTCTATCGAGTCCATTTCCACGGTAGACACACGGACGGACCGCGATGCGCTAGGGAAGACATTGACAGCTCGTGCCTCGCGAACCTCGCACATGTCACTGTCGGAGCGTGTAACGACAATCGCAACCAATGCCACTGCTGACCCCGACTATGAGGTCGACTGGGATGGCGATGATGACCCTGAGAACCCCAAGAACTGGAATTTCAAGTATAAGTCCATGGGAATCGTGTTTCTATCATGGAACACTCTCATAGTGTAAGTATCCCTATCTATCTTGAAATTTTGAAGCATGAGGTTCTCTAGCTAACAAACTCGGAAGCGTGCTATATTCGACTTCTTATACATCAGGCATTGCATTAATGGCCGAGGAATTCGGCCAACCTGGGACGATCGTCACCCTTGGCTTGACCTTCTATTTGTTTGGTCTTGCCATCGGGTCCATGTTCATGGCCCCGTTGAGCGAGGTATACGGACGGAAACCTGTCTGTGTAGTTTGTCTTGCCGTGTTCACAGTCCTGATCATCCCCTGCGCGCTCGCAGAGTCCGTCGCGGCACTGATTGTCGTTCGCTTTATCGCTGCTTTCTTCGGCAGTGTTATGATTTCTACCGCGCCCGGTATGGTGGCTGATTTGGTGGACGATGAGCACCGCGCTCTCGCGATCTCTGTTTGGAGTATTGGGCCACTCAATGGACCAGGTTTGTTCTTCACCTATTCTCTTTTCTGACACAATGGAGTCCATTTCTAACGGGATGTAGTCATCGGCCCTGTTATCGGAGGGTTCGTCACTCAATATCTTGGCTGGCGCTGGATGTGCTGGATCGCGCTCATTCTCTCCGCTATCGCTTTGGTCTTTGCTATCCTCCTCAAGGAAACATACGCACCAACCATTCTCCAAAAGAAAGCAGCCAGACTCCGCAAGGAGAGCGGCGAGTCCCGCTGGTGGAGTCGCTACGACCAAAAGGCGAGCCTGCCCGAAGTCCTCAAGCTGAACCTCAGCCGGCCGTTTGTAATGGCAGTCACCGAGCCAATCTGGTGAGTTTCTTACACTTACGCATCCCACAGCAGCCTATAGAACATCAAACTAACCCCCTCAGCATTTTTTGGAACATCTACATCGCAATCATCTATGGCATCCTGTACCTCTGCTTTGTAGCCTACCCAATTGTCTTCCGAGATATTCGCGGATGGCAACTGGGCGTGTCTGGGCTGGCCTTCCTAGGCATCGGGATAGGCGTCCTCCTCACAATCGCCTGTGAACCCTTAATCCGGCGGCTAATCAACAGCCATGTCAAAGATCCCGAGACCGGAAAACCACACCCAGAAGCAATGGTCGCGTTCGTCTGCATCTGCGCAACGATGATCCCAGTCGGTGAGCTCTGGTTCGCATGGACCTGCTCCCCAGCCTCGATTCACTGGATCGTGCCCATGCTCGCGGGTATCCCGTTCGGCGCAGGAAACACCGGTGTCTTCATCTATGCGTCCAACTACCTAACTCACAGTTACGGCATGTATGCCGCTTCTGCTTTGGCGGGTAACTCGGTTATTCGGAGTATCCTCGGTGGTGTTCTGCCCCTTGCTGGCTCTTCTATGTACGCCAGTCTGGGGCCGAATTGGGCGGGCACTCTGCTAGGGGTGTTGGAGGTTGTGATTGTGCCGATTCCGTTTGTGTTCTATAAGTATGGACATAAGATTCGCATGAAAAGTCCCCTCATTGTGCGCATGCAGGAGGAGAAGATGAAGCTGGAGGGAAAGCGGGCTAAGAGGCAGCTTAGGCTTCAACAGGTGAATCAGGAAGATGGGAAGAAGGTGGAAGAGGCGGTTTAAGGCTGTTTGTCGATGAAATTTTGTCTGGTGTTCTGATTTACGTCTTGATACCCCTCGCCTTGTATCTGAGGTGCTCGAAAAGTAATTATATAGCAAAATGTCTAATGCAGAGACGCTCCATTAATGCGTGATTGGCTTTGGGCTCCATGTAATATTTTGAGCCACTACAGATGTTTCCTCAGTGGGTGAACTGTATCATCCGCTCGACATGCTGAGAATTACAAAGGATCCGCTCATACTCCCCTATGGAAATAGCTCCTGCAGGAAAGACCATGATCGCCTCGACATACACCGGACGAGGGGGGATCGTAGAAGGCCGCTCATATGGCCGATTCGAGTCGCCGGGAGTCGAAGAGAATGAAGATGGCGGTGGTAGTGATGGTACCGGCTCCGACTCTCTGACATAGCCCACGACATTCAGCCATGTTCCCACACGCAATTCTTCGGCCGTCAGGCCCTCAAGGAGGGCATTGATGTCGACAGATACAGAGCTTGGAGCTATCTTGCTGCGTGGATAGTTGTGTTCCAGTATCAAATGGCCGGTGGTTATTGTATAACGCGTCACACTATGTGTGCACAAGAACGCAAGTCATCGTTAGTATTTGGAAGCCTGGACTTTATACTATTTTGTTCTCTGCTCTGGGCCTGACGCACCAGCCAAGAAAGCGGATCTTCGAGTCCGCCTGTAGAGATGAGAGATCGGAGAGGAACACGCGAGTCGAGGGGCGCGGTCCATTCATCTCTGCGCTAGTTGAACAAGATGCTCAACATTGTAAAAAGTATAAAGATAGAAATAAAAGAATAAAAGGCAGATCAAGAGGTCACAAACACAACGGTCTTGTTGGCGCACGTGACTGGCTTTACCGTGTATGTCATAGGCTCAGCGAGGGGAAAGTCGGGCTCCCCTCCACTTTACATTCATCCAGAAGTTATCCTTGGAAGCGCTCTCGACGAGTCGTGTGCTCCAAACCTATTGGTCATTCGGGGCTTATTTTTCCGCTCTTCTCTTACTTCGCCTGTCAGCTCACTGGCTTTGCCTGGAGCCTATCGCTCCACCTGACTTGCAGCGAAGAAAACAACCAATTTAGTCTTCTCTCCTCACTCACCCCGGATTTTCGGCCGCTGGTCTCCTTTGGACATTTACCTGATCACCGAGGCTTATCCTGCTTATTTATTCCCTTCGATTTCCAGTCACACAGATACCGACATCACAATGTGGTCTTGGTTTGGCGGGGC